TGAGGTCTCACCAGGGCTCGGGCGGGGTCTCTCCAGGGCGGTGGTCTCTCCAGGGCTCGGGGGGATGGGTTTCACCAGGGCTCTGGGGGAGGGGGGGTCTCACCAGGCTGGTGGGACCTCACATAGCCCTGTTGAGACCACACACAGCCCTGGTGAGAGTACAAAAGTCTATATTATACAAACTTCTGCCCTGTGTGCCTCATGAGCCCAGAAGGCTCTGCTCTAAATTGGGGGGCCCAGCCACCCCTCTTCCCTCACATGTCACAATCCGACGTGCGCACTTCATAGCATTGTGGAAAAGAGAGGATTCCTGATGTCCGGATATTTGCATTCTTCCCCCGGAGCTCAGGAAAACAGAGTGCGGAAAATGGGACTCCCAGGAAGGGGGTTATTGACATGAGGGTTAGGGAAGGAGTGCTCCTTTAAGCCCCCTCCTGGAGCTGCAGAATCCCCCGGAGACGTGTACAGACAGCCCGAGAAGTGGCTCACAGCAGTATCAGTTACATGGGTTCCTGGAGACACATATTTTAGGAGATCAGCAGAAGGTCACTGACTGTTTTAGTCTGCAGTCACATTTTTTTTTTTTCAACATCGCTGTTCTCACACACACACACACACACGACAGGTTACTGCGACGGGAGGCGGCAGAACCGCGGCGAGAGTGTTGTAACAGCCAAGTACGCGGCCCGGCTCTCTAGAGGACGCCGCCTCGCTTTAAATAACAGATGCGCGCAGACTTAGAAATGTGTGATCTTCGCCTGAGCTGCCGCAAAAGGTTTCGCCGTCTTATCAAAAGTTCAGGCTTCCCGGAATCTTCCAGCAGCTTTCCATGCAAGGTAGCCAGAACCACAGGGCAGGTGCCCATGCACAAGGTGCATTATCGGTTAGATTGTGCTCTGGCTGTGGTGAAACTACAAATTCCATCATGCTTCTGCCCCCAGGAGTCATGGCTGTGGTTTGTATAAGACACGGGACTTGTAGTTCCACCACAGCCAGAGTGCCAAGGTTGCCCACCACTGGATCATGCCATCACAAGCGAGGCTCAGAGGAAGAGTTAAATGAGAACTATGAGGGGGGGTGCTTTTCACTCACCTCATAGTTCTAGCCGACCCGTGACAATGAGACTGTCCCAGGTCGGCTCAGTAGATCGGGAGGTGAGCGAACACATACCGGCGTTCGCTCACTTCTCGATCCTGTCACTGCTCTCTGCCGTGACAGGGGAGGGGCTGGATTCCCGCCTTCCCGCTCCGCCAGAGCTGACTGGCGGAACGGACGGGGGAGGGGGCGGGTACAGCTGGTTCTGCCTCTAGATAGGCAGAGCCAACTGTCACTCACGCAGCTGGGCGGATCCAGACATCGATCTCGGTATCCGCTCCGGCGTCTCAGTATACCGCGAGCTGTAGCTCCCTATATACTGAGCCTAGGGTGACGGGAGGACGCTAGTTTGTGTCCTCCCGTTACCTAAGGAGAACTATGGGGGAAAGCCCTAACCCCATTGTTCTCCTTTAAAGGAGGACCAGTGAGTGTTAAAAATACAGGAGATAGCATAGCAGACATTTTTGTCCATGCCGCCCCATGTCATCATGACGCCAGGGTAACAGTTCCTGGCAACCAGAATGTACTGCCAATATGCATTTGTAGAGGTCCGTCCTGCACTGCAGGGAGTCTCAGTGTCAATGCAATTCCCTTTTAGATTATAAGCCCCCCAGGGGCAGGGCCCACCTTACCCTCTTGTCTTCAATTGTATTGTGATTGTAATGTCTTCCTTATATTGTACAGCGCTGCGCAAACTGTTGGCGCTATATAAATCCTGTATAATAATAATTTGATGGTGCCCGCTCAAAACTGTCATCGACAACCCCCCTAACCACCCCGATCAGTTGCAAATGGGGAATGCCCCTGTCACACCTGAATGGGCCATGAGAGAAGGGGTGTCAGCGCCAGCATTGCACGGGCCTGGCTGGGTTCAAACCAAGCCCCAGCATGTTCTTCGTTTGGAATAAAGTGCAAAAGGGTTAGAACCTCTGTCAGTGACTCCGTTTGGGAGATTTCCTCCTACTGTGTGTCTCAGTGGCACCCAATGACACCCCAGAATGGGGGAGGGGGGGGCATCAGGACAGCAAGGGCCTGCGTTGTGGAGGAGTAGTTAATTTCAAATGTCTTTTCGGGTTCCAATGCGAGTCTATGGGAATGCAAAACCTGACCGAAGCAGGTCAAGTGCTGGATGAAAAAAGCCGAGCTTCAACCAGTTCCTTTTTGGCGGAATTGTCTCCCGGTATGACCTTCATGACATAGATTTACCCAATGTGGGTGGAAGTCTGTGATTACATGACCAGTACATCTATATGAGCTTGTTGGACATCCCATTCCAGAACCATGGCTATTAAAATTGAGTTGCCCTCCCCATGATCATTATTATGGAGATGGCTCCTCTCTGCAGCTTTGACATCCTCCACTCTCCTGGAACGGCTTTCCACAAGACCTTGGAGGGTGTCTGTGGCAATTTGTGCCCATTGGTGAGGTTGGGTACCGATGGTGGATGGGAAGATCTGGCCAACAATCGGCATTCCAATTAATCCCAAAGGTGTTCCGTAGGGTTGAGGTTCTGTGCAGGACTCTTGAGTTCCTCCAACAAGCTGGTCACACCGTGTCTTTATGGAGCTTTGTACACAGGGGACAGTCATGGTGGAACAGAAAAGGGTCTTCACCAAACTTACCATAGTCTAAAATGTCTTTGTAGCATTAATAGAACACGTCACTGGAGACACCTGAACTCCATCATTTGAATGGGTGGTCACATACTTTTGGCTATACAATGTTGGTGTAATGGTCACAAGATTTTGGAGGGTGTCTGTGGCAGTTTGTGCCATTTGTGAGGTCAGGTACTGATGATGGATGAGTAGACCCGGCTCACAATCAGCATTCCAATTCATCCCGAAGGTGTTCAGTAGGGTTGAGGTCGGGGCTCTGTACATGACACTCGAGTTCCTCCACCAAACGGGTCGCACCATGTCTTTATGGATCTGGCTTTGTACACGGGACAGTCATGCTGTAAAAGAAAAGGGTCTTCACCAAACCCCTCTCTTAAAGCCTCCATAGCCAATTGCCACGTGAGGTGGGGGAAAAGCCAACTGATCCCTGTGCATGCTCTGACTTCAGGACGATTTAACTTGCACAGGGAAGATGGAGGCAGCTGGAGCGCTGTGAAGGTACATACAGCGGTGAGGGTTCTGTCCGGGACGCTCGAGTTCCTCTACACCATGTCTTCATGGAGCTGGCTTTGTCCACCTGAACTCAATATTTCCTAGGGGGTTCCTATGTTCCATAGGGTTGAGGTCGGGGTTCTGGTGTGGAGGAACTTGAGTGGCCTTCACCAAACTGGTCACGCCATGTCAGTATGGAGCTGGCTTTGTACACAGGGGACAGTCATGGTGGAACAGAAAAGGGTCTTCACCAAACTGTGACCACAAGACTGGAAGAGCCCAATTGTCTACAATGTCTTTGTATGATGGAGTATTAACCCTTCACTGGAGACACCTGAACTCAACCAACATATACACCGAGTGGCCAGATTATTATATACACCGAGTGGCCGGATTATTATATACACCGAGTCGCCGGATTATTATATACACCGAGTCGCCGGATTATTATATACACCGAGTCGCCGGATTATTATATACACCGAGTCGCCGGATTATTATATACACCGAGTCGCCGGATTATTATATACACCGAGTCGCCGGATTATTATATACACCGAGTCGCCGGATTATTATATACACCGAGTCGCCGGATTATTATATACACCGAGTCGCCGGATTATTATATACACCGAGTCGCCGGATTATTATATACACCGAGTCGCCGGATTATTATATACACCGAGTCGCCGGATTATTATATACACCGAGTCGCCGGATTATTATATACACCGAGTCGCCGGATTATTATATACACCGAGTCGCCGGATTATTATATACACCGAGTCGCCGGATTATTATATACACCGAGTCGCCGGATTATTATATACACCGAGTCGCCGGATTATTATATACACCGAGTCGCCGGATTATTATATACACCGAGTCGCCGGATTATTATATACACCGAGTCGCCGGATTATTATATACACCGAGTCGCCGGATTATTATATACACCGAGTCGCCGGATTATTATATACACCGAGTCGCCGGATTATTATATACACCGAGTCGCCGGATTATTATATACACCGAGTCGCCGGATTATTATATACACCGAGTCGCCGGATTATTATATACACCGAGTCGCCGGATTATTATATACGCTGGGTGGGCGGATTATTATGACCACCTGACGTTTGTAGGCAAATTAGCTATAATGTGGCGCTGAAGTTGCTAGAGGGCCAGACCATTATAAATAGGGAAGCGGGTTGGTTACCACGACAGTAGAAGTGATTTGTTTCTGAAGATTCGGGGAAACAACGCGATGTAACAGCCTTTGAACGTGGGATGATTGTTGGCGCTCGGAGCCATGGAGCGAGAATCAGCAAACCAGCAGAATTCGTTAAATGTTCAAGAGCAGCTGTTGTTAAAGTGTTTAAAGACCGGACTGTCAGCCGAAAATCTGGGTCTGAACGTGCGAATTGTGGCCGTCAGCGACTAGTCAATGTTAGGGCAGAACGGGGGAGGGGCAAGACTGGTACAAGACAACAGAAGGGCAACAGTGCCGTGTCAGATTCCTCGCATCACCTTTCATCATGTTGTGGAGTCACCAGGCGGCCCAACGAAGGACTGATGGGGGGGTCATAATAATCTGGCCACTCAGTGTATTTGGCCATACAGCGTAGGTCCTGCCTCAGACCCGGCTGGCTTATGACAACATAGATCTATTTACTGTGAGATACGGATTCATTGTTACATTGAGCTATGAACAATCAGAGACATATCAATGCATAGACCGAATCCTGCCAGAGACGCCAGGGTGAAATAGATCGGACACACACACACGGGGACACACACACGGGGACACACACACGGGAACGCACGCACACACGCACACACACGGGGACGCACACACACGCACAATTACTTACACTGACACGGAAAGCTTGCACAGTGTTATCCAGCAGAAGGATATTACACACAACCTCTGTGCTCTGCCTGTCTCGGGCCTGCTCCGACGCACGTACATTGTAGGTTTTGCCAGCAGGCAATCGGAAACGTGCGCTCATTACTGTCTGCGCAAAGTCTGTAAGATACGAGAGAGAGATAAAAAACCGATTAGGATGGAATATGATCACTTCACACGTGAAAAGCAGCAAAGACAACGCAGGTACAGAGAGAAATCTAAAACAGGAAATAGAAACGCAGACAATGAAGGGGGACAAAGAGATCCGACGTGACAGGTGATCACTCTGCCAGAGTGTAGCGGACTCTATGTATTAGGGATGCACCCATACTGATAGAGTATTTGGCCGAGTACTCGTACTTGCCCAAATGCTCCGATACTTACCCCCGATACCGGAATTTGCGGTCAGAGGGGAGATCTCCCTCTGACCTGCAGTGCTGAGGGAGAAAGGAGCCGGCTTCCTTTCCAATCAGGAAGCCGGGCGGTGGGTTATGACCCGCCACCCGGCTCCCTAATTGGCTAGGAAGGCGTCTTCATTTGTTGCTAGGCAGCCTGGCTTCCTAACCAATTAGACATGTAATGACCCGACTCCTTGATTGGTCAGGAAGCCAGACTGCCTAGGAACAAGTGAAGCTGACTTCCTAGCCAATCAGTCAGCCAGGGGGCGGGTCATGACGTGCTGCCCGGCTTCCTGATTGGCTAGGAAACCAGCTTTACTTGTTGGTAAGCAGCCTGGTTTCCCAGGCAATCAGGAAGCCGGGCGACAGGTCATGATCCCCCCCAACCCCCGCCCAACGCGTCAGTTTGTTTTTTGTATAGATGCACGCGGAATAAAGTTTGATTGTCTTTGGAAGATCACCGTGTGCTGGTTCTACAGTTCTTGAGCCCATCACTCCAGAAGAGAGACATCTGTGAACCGAATGTGGTTTACAAGGACGCATGACAGGGGTGAGCTGTGCGCTTTGGGTTTGTCTTAATTTTTTTTATAAAACTTTATTGAAATGTCACAAAACGACATTCTGTTCAGCTCTATTATGTCCTGCAGCTTTTTTTTTTGCGTTGAAGTGCAGACAAGCTTGATGTTCAGGCTAGGGCTACAACAACTAATCGACAACTTTTTCAATCATCGATTAATCGGCCTCTGATTAGTTGGCCCTGTGCACGGCTCGCCGCTGCCACAATCTCAATACAAACTAGTAGTTCCATCACTGGAGCCATTTTTTAAGATGTATTTTATTTTTTTAGCCGATTAACCGATTAATCGAACTTAATAATCGGCTAACTAATCGATTTTGAAAATAATCGTTAGCTGCAGCTCTAGTTCAGGCAGCACACCTCGCCGCCGCGTTATGGTGTACACAGGGCCCTTCAATGATCTATGCAGATGGACGCAGTTCAATGGCGTGAACAAGCCCCGGTCATCAGAACACAGAGGGGGCGGAGTCTCCTTGGGAACACACGGAATAAAAACCTAACGGGGGTTCCAACCCTCCAATACCTGCCAATGCCGGACTTTGAGGTGAAAGCCACTGCAGAGAATCAAGACGCGTTCACAGTATTACGTAACCGGAGCGCGCACTTACATCAGAGTCCACAGCATGCACTATCTGCAGGATCCGCCCCCGCAGCCTTCTGAAGAACACGGTGCGCCGCTGTGCGCTCCCCACCCTCCTCTGACCACTATCGGATGGTTTCCTCTGCGGTTTGAAGTGAAGTTGAAGTACTTCCTCTAGTTGGCAGTGACCGGTCTTTATTACAGGAGGGGGCGGAGACAAGACCAGTCACCCTGCACAATGAGAGAGAGCAGCAGTGACTGGTCTTTATTACAGAAGGGGGTGGAGACAGACCCTTCACAATGGCCATGGTTGCAGATTGGCCTATACGTGCTGCTTAGTGCATGACCAGATTTCCTTAAAACAACAGGCACTGCGCGGTCCCCAATGAGGTGAAACCCTCACAATGCTCCCAGCAGTCAAGAGACCATGTGATCTAGGCTAGGGGGGGGGGGCGGAGACCGCGTGGTCTGGTCTCCGCCCCCCTCTTGTAATAAAGACCGGTCAGCATGCTCTACTTTTTTAGGGCCCATTCACACCATAGCGTTGTTACAGTGCAAGAGGTGCGTTGCGTTAATAGAGTGAATGTCGTGTGAATATTTTCACCTCGGTTGAAGTCGGGCGAGGGGCCCAGAGCCGCCCCCGGAACAGCGTTCTTCTGTTAAATGCCCCATAACGCGCCTTCGGGCGCACGGGGACGCGTCTCTTATCAGGCGGGAGCGGCTCATCAACTCTGATTTTTATGAGCGGAGATAACAGAGAGCGGAGCAGATAAAAGATCGCCGCGCATTCACACCGCCCGCCGCCGTCCAATGACTGAACACACAATGTGCGCCCTGCTATCCAAACAATGAGAGCCGATAAAGAGCAATATACTCCGAGTGCACTACGCCACCCGATGCCTGGCGTCATCAAAGAGAACCGGTCACCGCCTGGAACAACTGCCCCCTGTGTTCTGGGACCGTTCAATTACTGCCTGCGCTGGCCCAGCTCCTCACCTCATAACCCTGTTCTGCAGCTGCCAGGGGAGTGTCACTTCAGTCTGCTGGCACCACTGGCCTCACTGGGGGCCACAGGGGCACCACTGGGGGCCACAGGGGCACCACTGGGGGCCACAGGGGCACCACTGGGGGCCACAGGGGCACCACTGGGCGCCACAGGGGCAGCACTGGAAGCCACCATAGAATCCCACTAGCCTCCAGAGAGCCCGCACAGACACTACTATTGGTGCATCGCTAAATTTTACGGTTGGGGGTCACCACACATTGGCAAATGTTACCAAGGGGTCCGGCCCTAGAAAGGTTGAGAACCACTGCTCTAGTGCATGGGGGGGGGCGACCTCAACTACAAATCCCAACAATCCTCTGCGAGCCATGCCTGGTAACTGTCAGTCTTGCAATGCCTCATGGGACTTGTAGTTCTACAACAGCTGGAGAGACTTGACTGTGACCTCTGAGAGAAGAACAACCAGCAGCCACCCAAGAACGCGTTTCCTATGAGACCGGCAGGTTTGCAAAGAGGGGAGGAGCCAGTAATGTGCAATCACTGTGAATGACGACAACGCAGGGCCTGCGCATGTGCTGGGCTGGGGGGGGGGCAAGTCCCATAAGACTCCGCCTAAAGCCAAATATTGTTTTACAAGTCAATTCTCCCACATCGGCGCTCACTACGTCCGAAATCCTGCCACAGCAAAGAACACAACGATCGCCGGCGGGGGCCCCATAGAGAAGAGGCTTCGGGGGGACCCATTACTCAGGTGGGAGGAGCCTGTCAGAGCGAGGAGGAAGAAGATATTACACCTTGCTCCTCCCCCTTTGCAAAGAAAGGGGGGGTTCTGTAGTTCAGCTTTATCTATTAGCACCCAGACTAAAGAATACACCAAGGGAGCGAAAACATGACAACCGTCTGCAGGGGTCCCGAGGGCTGCATGTGGCCCCCGGGGGTTCGAAGCATTCTAGGTTCTCCAATAACTGCCGATTACGAAGCAACGCATTACATCGCAATCTCCGCGCATCCCCCATACCTTACCTCCGGCGGCGGCGTGCGGGGATCACTATCTTGTGAAAGGGGATTAGAGTGATAATAAGGTCACTGCAGAGTGCAGCTCACAGCCGCCGACCACTTCCCAAACAAGCCATTAGGGACCGGGAGCGTGTCATCAGGTCTCGGCTCCGCGCATACCAATCATACCTCCATGTACTACAAGTGTCTCGTGTTACCCGGCTGGGGAGATGCGGCAGGTCTGATAGCAATAAAGATCCCATCCCCCCACCGCGCGACGCGCACAGTGCGGACGCCGTCCAGCAAAGCTCGCTGCCAAGCGGCACACAACGGGTCTGCGAGTCGCTGCGGCTGCATTACATCATCGCATCCTCAACAGTCTGAGGAGCCCATTCACACTTGCTGAGCGCGTGAACACGATTTGCACCCGGTCACGAAACGCGCGTCACATGCGCACATGCGCGGCACGATGGGGGCGCTTTGACGGGTTAACGCGCCACAAATGCGCAATGGAAAAATGCGGAGAACGAGCCAGGGCGACATTCTGTTCTTGATGCAATTCAATATATAGCGCGGGGGGGGGGGGCGGCACCCTCGGCACGCCAACCGTGCCGGAACTACAAGTCCCATGAGGCATTGCAAGACGACAGCCACAACTCCCAGAAGAATGATGGGCCTTATAGTTTCACCACAGCTGGAGTGCAGGGGTTGCCTACCCCTGATTTAGAGCCTTGAGGAAGGAAGGGAAAGCGGTGACATGACCCGGATCAATTGTTTATTATAAGCACAGACCTCGGGGGTGGGGGCCTGTAAATGCATGTTGGGGGGGTGTCCACAGCCTGTGCAGTTCCTCATGGGCGGGGCCACAGACCATAGAGGATGTCCTGGCCACCTGCTCATTGCATATTCAGGCTTTGTTCTATGTGGCCCCCAGGTCTCCTCATTCAGCGCTCGTTTACACCAGGACGTGTCAGTCTTCGTTCACACGCGTGCATCTGCATTTCCATGCCATCTTAGCGTGTTTTTGTCGCGAGTTGATCACGCTTTGGCCAATGAAAGTGAAATAAAGGAGGAGGTTGCTAGGGGGCGGGGGCGTGTTGTCATGCGAGCTTTCTTCATGCGCTCCTGTTCAAAACGCACCGCCGCCACTTTCCAAGTCGCAATGGAAGCATGCTGCGAGGCTGTGCCAGGCAACCTGGGCGCCATGGGAACTACAAATCCCAGGAGGCATTGCAAGATCCTGACAGCGACACACACGGCTCCCAAAGGCCGATGCATGATGGGAGATTTGCAGTTGGGAGGGCCGAGGTCGCCTCCCCTTGCTGTAGAAAATAACGCAGCTCCTTATATTGTGAACTGTCAGGCGGCCTCAAACGGCACGCAAGTGAACGAAGACTAAAACAGGTCCTGCGGAGACGCACCGCGCGCGACGCACGAACGGCACCCCAATACATCTGCGTCACAGAGCACCTCAGAAACAAAAGATGCAGCCGTGACAAAGAGAGTCGGGGCGCCGCGCAGCCCATCCAGTGCAATGTGACGCATCCAGACAAGATGCAGTGCGGCATGGATAAGGTTCAGGAGGGATGAAGAACACGGGGACACGACCTCACGGTTGCTGATGCGTCGCCCCTCCCCGGGCTTCGTTCTGGCCCCTGGAGAGCCGCAAGAGGATTCCCCAGCGACAGATGATGTCACAACAAATCGGCAACACAGATGAGTCACGTGACTGACGCGGGATTTCACAAAGCGCGGATTATTCCGGAGCCGTGCACGCTGCCTGCTGGATATTACACGGGCCGCCCCGGGGGGTGAGCCGCCTGTGCTGGAACTACACATCCCAGCATGCCCAGCCACAGGAGAGGTCAGATATAAGACTGAAGGGGAGGACGGAGGTCAGATGGAAGACTGAAGGGGAGGACGGAGGTCAGATAGAAGACTGAAGGGGAGGACGGAGGTCAGATAGAAGACTGAAGGGAAGGTCCCAATCGTTAGGGTTCAGGGGGGGTCACACCAGATTGGGGTCACCGGCACACTGATGCACCATGCAGATTCTGCACCCCGGGGGTACAATGTGGCCCCTCGGCCGGTACAGGTGTTGTGTTGTCTGAAATTCGAGTTCCATAATACAAGATCTGTGCCCTCGGGGCAACTCCCCCCAAATTGCTGCCCTGGAGGGGGTATAATAAAGCTCCTCGGCTGGCAGAGGGAGGAGGGGG